CCCCCTCTCTGTTGAGGCCCGTCTTGAGGCCCAGGAGAATAGTTTGAGAGCTGCTTGGGAGGCTTAGCTGTCGGCCCCCGAAGTCGCCTGGGAGCCCAGAGGCCCACCGACCAGGGTGCCCAAGCTTCCGTCGGTCGACCACATTCGTGACTGCCTCCGGCGATTGATTCAAGGGATCCACTTGCCGCCCAGACGGATTCCGGATTCCATCCAGGACACTGCGGTCGTCTGAATGACAGAGCTCTTTATCTAGTATCACTTATGTTCCGGGTGGTGCGCATGGTAGGTGACGCGCCTCGTTTTGTGTGATCGTTTAACATGATGCTTATGCAGAGGGACGGCGATGGAGATCCACGTCGACCGATTGGCCACTTTGAATGCTTCCCTCGGCTGTTCGGTGCGGCTCAGAAACATCGCGCGCGGGAGTGGGGGGCTGAATGCGGGATGGCAGGCTATTTCTCTGCCGCCCAGAAGCGGTCCCCAGTGGACTCGGACTGGGGGGCCTCTGCGAGGGCCGAACAAGCTACCGAGGCCAAGCTGCACGTTTTAAATCTACTCTGGGGCATCAAACAGTTCTACGAGCATGTGCCCAGGGATCGACTCAGAGACTATGCCGAGCTTGCGAACTACCCCCATCGACCTCCTGGATTTCCCCCTCCGCGTAACCTCCTGCATGATGGCATTGTCTCCGCTGGTTTGTGGGCGGCCCGAGGGCTAGTAGCAGGTAGTAGGACGGCGACTTACGAAGCTAAGTATGATTTGAAGCTTGGGATGGAAGCTTTAGCTGTAGTCTGGCCATCACAGACAGCAGAGTCGCTACACATAGACGGTCTATTTCTGCAGGTGTGGGGTGCCAGCGCGGACTGGGTGCTCCTTGCTATGCGAGAACCTGCAGGCTGTTGGCAAGTTTGCCATGACGGCCTCGAGTGGGCCTCTGCTTTCTCGCGCTCCTGATTTCCTTGGGGGCCTCGGCGGGGGGCCCGCTGCAAGCGTCGCCCATTTGGGCGTGGATTTCACCTCTGGCAAGAGTCGCACAGGCCCCAAAGCGCTGAAGACCAGGACCAATCGACATGCTATGTTCACGTTTCGTCGCCAGAGGTTGAAGCTTATTAAAGCCAAGCCGAAACATCGTTCACGCGTGTTTCAGACAAAGTTGAAGCCCTGCCTTGCCTACGGGGGTGAGGTGGTAGCATTCTCAGACAAGCAGGTTTGGCTCCTACGAGGGGCAGCGGCTATGGACTGTGGGATAGCTCTGAGAGGTGCTTCTACGGACTTCGTTTGGGCGTTGTCTGGGGCCCAACGCCCGTTGGGGATAGCAGCTGTGCCACTTGTCCGATGCGCCGAAGAATGGCGGATGGTGAGCCACGACCTTGGCCATGTCGACCAACCTGTTCACGATGATGTGCCGCCAGTCAGCACATTCAGCCGCGTTTTCTATTCTGCCTTGGTCAGGACTTTCCAGAAGTCGAGGGCCTGTGTCGGACGTAATTCTGCGGTTTCTTGAAGCTGGGTGGGAAGTAAAAGTTCCTGCCCGATTTCTCGACGGGCGAGGGGCGGCTATTGTTCTCGCAACCCACTCGCCAGAGTATGTCGATGATTTGTTTGTCTCACAGCTTAAAGACAAGTGTGTGCAGCGAGCGATCCAGAAGCAAATATGTAGGCTCGGCCATAAGATGGCAAGACATGTTTGATCGAGGTGCGCGGTGGGAGTTCTCGAAAAAGACGTTGGCTTCGAAGAAGACTGACTTCTCATGGCGCGAGGCTCTGTTGCTTCGGCAGGTCTGGTGCGCCTCCAACCCGGCGCGTGCGCTGATAAAGAAATGGGTTTTCACGATCGACGAGATTTGCCCTCACTGCGGATGCAAGGACACGCTGTGGCATAGGATACGGAAGTGTCCACATGCCGAGTCGACCAGGGAGGAGGTCTTCGGGAGGTTGTTTCGTCAGGCGTTGGAGGCGGGGGAGGATCACCCGTTGTTCGCACGTGGCTGGGTAGCGAAATTGGATCTCGTTAGGCCTGAGTCAGCTTAGCACATCCAATTCTTTGGAGAGCATGGCGAACCATGCGACCCGTTTAACTTCCCGTCAGGTGCTAGCTTATTTTCTGATGGTAGCTTTGTTTGCCCTCGGCGCCCAACCACGTTGGCCCGTGCGGACTGCTCGGTGGTGGAAATCATTGAAGATGGAACCTTGGTCTGCGGGATATGCTGGGCTCCCAGACACTCTGTTGCAAACTGCCGTCTCAGCTGAGCACGCCGCGGGAGTTCTAGCCACGGTCTTTAGCGAAGATGGTTTATAAGAGTGACCTATTTGTAGACTGCAAAGCTCTCCTGGGACCCCCCCCCTCGGAAGTTCGGGCCCAAGTGGCCCCGGGGGCATTTCTGGAGGGCGATGTCGCGTGTGACGGGGGCTAAGCGGGTGGTCGGTTTCGTGCGTGGGATGGCCCACCGAGAGTTTGATCAGGCGCAGGATGAGCAAGGCGAGTTGTTAATTCTAGGGAATCAAGGTGCCTATCGCTATGCCAGAGTCGCTGCGAATGAGAATGCTTTCAGCAATGCCGATTGTGATATGATCAAATTTGCCACTTCGTGCTACACCAAGCTAGTACGAGGCATTGGCAAGGCGCTGGCAGAGTGGCCCCCGCTCCAAGAGCTGTTGGGGGACCTTTGCCGCGAGGCGATTGAGAAGGAACCGAAGCCCCCGCCCCCACATCCCCACACCTTCGTTTGTTGGGGGTCGGGGGGAAAGTGGCGATGTTCGATGTGTTTGCGACGCGTTGGCTATGAGTCCCGAGTTGGATGCCGAGGCCTCAACTCAACGCTGCACAGTCTTGTGGCTGACGATGACCACAGAGGTCACAAGCTCCATGTTTCTTGGCTCCGAGGGTCAGAACTTCTTGTAATTTGGTGCACGGCATACAGTGGCTTTGCGACCACCGAAGCTGGACCCAAGCTTCTGGGTAACTGTCGTCAGATTTGCAATTTCAGCGAGCGGCGGAAACTGTTCAAAGGTGAGCTTCCTGGGGCAGGTCTGCGTTTGGGGCTCCCGCCTGAGCCTCTCTCCCACTTGGGGGGGTCTGATGGCGCGGGGTCGGAGTCGGACTAATCCCAGGTTGCCTTGCCGCCTTTCCCGCCTTGGCAGGTGCGCTTGCGTGCTGACCAGACGGCAACTGAGAACGGAGAACTGAGAACCGCAGGCCTGACGGCGCAGCGGCGCTCGCCCAGGACGAACGCGTCGACGCAGTGGCCCCCGCCGGGCGCGTTGACCGGGTCAAGTCGAGGGCCGAGGAGCAGGCCGGATGCCGCTTCTCAGGTCCCCGCGTCTCCCTCCTATAGGCGACCGCCTACGCGCTGCTCGCGCAGCGTCGCGTTGCCGCCTGCGTCGCCGCGCTGCGTCGGGCCGGCCGCGCGCTGCTCATCGGGCGCGCGATGCAGCCTAATTCAGTAGCCACGCAGAAGATCTAGGCGCTCGTCGCTTTCCCGGCGGTGGAATGCGCCGGCCAGGTCTGCGCGCGCAGCGACGGCTAATTGGCGCGAGGGGGGGGGGGGGGCTGGGTGCGGCGCGCGTGGCGCCGTGTGCGCGCGCCTGGGCGCGCGTCGCAGTGCTGGTGATGGGCAGATCTGACATGTGCTCGACGCCGTGAGCCAATTTGCGCAAGCTTGCGCGTCGGTCATCACACGGCTCTGAGTTGCTCGCGGCGCGCGGGGCAGACGATGGCAGGCGCGCCCCCTGGCGCTCCGCGAGACGGCGCGCGGGCCCGCCACAGCAGAGGAGATCAGGGTGCTGGTGCAGGACGCGGGCTTCCCTGTGCCAGCCGAGCTGGCCGCGGGCGGCGCTTCCGTCTTCCCCGCGTTTGCCGCGGGCCGCGCGCGGCCGCCGCCGGGTGACTGCGCGGCAGGCCGCCAGCGCCAGCCCCACGACGAAGGGGGAGCGTCTGCGGCGAGGTCGCCCTCGACTTCGCGGAGGGGGGGCTTTTCTACAGACGCCCCGCAGTGAGTTTGAGCGAGGGGCGGCGCGAGAAGATGGCGCCGAGCTCCCGCCGCGGCGACCTCAACGGGGGCGACGACGGCGCCATTTGGCATTCCACTCGGCGTCGAGTGTCCCGGAATATGTTCGCGAACGCAACGACCGACGCGCATTTCGCGAAATATCGCGCGCCATGTGCGCGAATGCGGGTCGGCCAGTGAGAGCGCAAGAAGGGCGAAGCGCGCCAATGAGAGGGCTGCCGCCATCAACTGTGCCGGTGGGGCGGCAATATTCTGGCAGTTGAGCGCGCAGGTCAGCCGCTGCGTGCTCGAGCGGAATGGTCTGTCGCCTCGCATTTTCTTATGGTGGGCCCGGTCAGTAGAGAGCCCTCTCGGCGCAATTTCACTTATCCGATGCAATTCTCCGCTGATACCTGGTCAGTGGTATGTCTCAGCAGTGCAACTTTGCACGGGGAGCCTGGGTTTTCTGATTACTATTGAATAGAAGGGGGTGGTCAGCATGACCCCGTTGCGCTGCACATGTTTATGCCTGTAACTATTTAGTGGGGCCTGGTCAGTAGAAGGTCTCCTCAGCCTAGCTTAGGTTAGCGTTGCTGGCGTGGGTGTGGCTTGCGCGCCCGAGCTGGCGAGGCGCGAGCGGACCCGTTTGAACATCGGACCTCGAACGGATGTTTCTCGCTTTGTCCCCGCCTCTGCCTCTCTTGATGGACTCCCTTTTTTTATTGCCGTTCTGTCTCGTGGGCGCGGCAGGCTGCGACCTGCCGCGCCCGTCCCACGCGCAGTTTATTTCCAACCGTGGTCTTTTCGATATTATCAAACGTAAAAGCTATAACCGTCATTATTCGTGTCATCCTCCTTCTCCTCCTCCTCCTCCTCCTCCTCCTCCTTGTCCTCTGGCCCACCCCCGCCTCCGCTCGATTTCGTTCATTGCGGAACTGCTTCGCTCGTCGAGTGGCGCGTGCTTTTCTCGCCCGCATGCTCTTGCCATTCCCGGTCGACCCTTCCCCGCAGGAGCACCCGGGCGGCGACTCCGCCCCCGCCGCCCCTCTGAAATTGGTGCAGGCGGGGGGGTGCGCGGGTTGAACAGGTCGTTCCGAGACGATTTCTTCCCGCCTTCTTTGCCCCTCGTCCTCCTCCTCTTCTTCCTCACTCTTTTCATCCTTTTCCCTTCCTCTACCTTTTCCACCTTTTCCTCCTCCTCTTCCTCATCCTCCTCCTCCACCTTTCTCTTCGCCTCCTCCTCCTCCTTCTCCCTTTCCTCCTCTTCCTCATTTTCCCTTCTCCTTCCTCCCCCTCATGATTTTTTCATCTTGCCTTCCTCTTCTTCCTCCTCCTCCTCTTCCTCTTGTTCCTCCCCGTCGTCCTCCTGCTTCTTCCTTCATCCCTCCTGCATGTTCCCTTCCCTCCTCCATTCCCCTTGTCTTCCTCCTGTTCCTCCCCCTCCTCCTCTTCTTCATCCTCCTCCTTTTCCCCCTCGTCCTCCTCGTCCTCGTCCTTCCTTAGCCATTTTCCCAAGTTTGCCGAGGTGCGTGGATTTGGGCTTGTGCCGCTCTTCTTCCAAACTCCTTCGCATGCCCCCGCGCGCTCCCGATGGTGGTGTCCGGGAGGCTCGACGCTGTCGCGGGCCGTGTCCGCGCGGGGCGCGCAGTTGCTGCGTCAATCGTTGCTCGGCCAGTGAGTGCTTCAAGGGCAAGCTGATGGTGCAGGCAGCTCCGGGTGTCATCGGCCCTGCGGCCCATGGGCGCATCTTGCAGCAGCTGTGCGCCATTCAGATGCGGGCACGTTTTCAGAAATGGTAGCTGCAAGATCTCGATCTGGCTCCGCCCTCGGCCTGGTGTTGATGGTGCTGCTCTGCCCGATTAAGGCCATGGAGGTGCTGGAGGTGGCGATGACCACGACGGCGGACGTGGAAGCCGACGGCACCGTCGAAGTGAGCATGCTGACCGTGACCCTTGGTGGGAGGGCGGCGTTGACCCGTGCAGCGGTGGTGATTTCCATTGCGATGGCTGCTGGCCTCATCAGTCCAAGGTACTTCGTCAGTATGCTGTCCAGCGGGGCGACCACGATCCAGGTGCTATTCCTGCAGTGCCGCTCTTCTCCGTCAATGCTGATGCGATGATCTTCGTCCCGACCTACGAGTTCAGCCTTTGATGATGCCGCTGCCGACCCAATATGAGACGGAGAAGGCAGTATTGGATGAACTCCGCCTTGTTGATGGTTCTTCCTGATTCAGCTGCCCGTGATGGGATCTGTTATGGAGTTGCGATCGGCGCTGATGTGGTGCATGACCTTCTTCTGTTAGGGCGGGTTGGTCTGGATCTCGCTTTTGATGTCGTTACTCCTGGTGTTCCCCAGGGTGACTTTGACTATGTATTATATGGATACCCTTCTGGTGTTTCACGATCTCTACCTGTGTCCGCTGCTCGTCCAGGTCGTGCTGCACTTCTTCCTGCTGGTTTTACTGGCTTCGGCCTTGGGGTTCAGCCTTACTCTCTTACCGCTGATCGTGATTGTGAACGTCCTGGGCATGGGACTCGTAGGAGCTTGGACCATGCTTAGGTGAATCTTCTTTCAGGCTGAAATTGCAGTGCACGTCCCTCGTGAGCGTGGGGGTGCTGTTCGTGGTGGTCCTACAGCACGTGATGGTGCGCCTCACCCGCAACATCGGGTGGTTCGCGAGATCTATTTCAAGACGGCTACTTCTGACGACGATTACGAGGGCGATCGTTGGATTCCATTGTTGACGATGTATCAGCGTGCTGATTGGCCGCTGCATGTATTCGTTGAGCGTTGTTTTGGTGGTCGCGGAAGGCGTTTTCATCGGTGCGGTCTGTAAGGTCACGACCGTCTCCGACCAGACGCTCTCGGTTGCGACTTTCCACGCAGGTGAGAAGGTGCAGATCGATGCAGATTCCGTTCGGGAGGTCTCGGACCCATTTAGCAACGCGCAGTGGAGCTGCATGAAATTGGAGAAGCAGATCTTTGATGAAGGGCGTCGGTGTGAAGAACGAGGATCCTGAGGTCATGTCGCATGTGGTCCTCGTCGGCTTCACGGTGTGCTTCTTCCGGGGTTCCGGGGCTGTGACATCTTCTTCACGGCGGGCGTCGCCCTCCCTAGAAGGGGCATTTCGTCGCCTTTGGATCGTGGCGCTGTTCTCGCGCGGGGGGATGGATACACTATTATATGTATGTATGTATGTATGTATGTATGTGTATATGTATATGTATATGTATATTTATGTATATATATATATATATATATATATCGGAGGTTGGGGGGTGAGATCGCATTGAAGCGGAGACCCCCCACCAGGAAATCGGTTTCGGTTTTGTGTTCGTGTCGCGCGCGCGGGCGAGGCGAAGCGACGGGGGTCAATGCTGACGGGGGTCAGCCAGGGCACTGGATCTTGCAGGATCCTGCGACAAAAAAAACCCTTTGGCTGACCCGGGTTAGCGAGCCGCTCGTGGCCGCGAGGCGGCCGCGCCTATTGGCTGACCCGGGTTTGCGAAGACCTGCATTGCAGTTTTTGTTCCTGCATTGCAGTTATTTGGTTTCTTGCTGACCCGGGTCTGGATTGACCCGGGTCAGAAATCCCGGAAAGTCTGTTTTCCGTCCGCCGGTGGCCGGGAGGTGTTCCAGTTGGGCCGGGCGGTGTCCCGGGTGTCCCGGGTGTATCGGGCGTCCCGGCGCTAACGCCTGTCGCTAATTTCATAATTCATTTTTTTCGGCGCCTGCGGCGGGCTTTCTTATCCAACCCAGCTCATCTTATCCAATCCATCTTGTCCAATCCAATCCATCTTATCATATCCAACCCATCTTGTCACATTTTATTTTGTCCCACCCAATCCAATCCACCCAACCCAAGCCATCAATTCATTTATGTCTGCGCCTGCGGCGGGCCAATCCAATCCGTTTTATCTTATCCAATCCATTTCTTCCAATTCAACCCAACTCATCTTATCCAATCCACTTTATCCCATCCAATCCAACCCACCCAACCTAACCCAACTGCGAGAGAAAGAGATATGATATCAAGGTGACAGGCTGGAGAGCAGTCAGGGTGGGCATTTAATCTCAATCCCCCCCAATCTCCTTATCGCCCGCAGGGCGGTCGTATAGGTGTGTGTGTATATATATATATATATATATATATATGTGTGTGTGTGTGTTCCATGTGCTCCCCCTTTTTCCTGTTCGTTTCTTCCCCCTCCTCATTATTCCTTGCTCTCTCCTTCCACTCCCCCTCCTCGCCCTCTTCCTCCTTCACCGTCTCTTCCCACCCCCTGTTCCTCCTGGGTCCGCCTCTTTCTCCTCCTCCTCCTCCTCCCTCCTCCTCCTCCTCTTCATCCTCTTCCTTTTCTTCCTCCCTCCTCATTTTCCTCCTCCTCCGTTGCCTCCTCCTCCTCCTCCTCCTCTTTCTCCTCGTCCTCCTCCTCCCTCTCCTGCTCTCCTCCTCCTCCTCCTCCTCCTCTTCCTCCTCCTCCTCCTCCTCCTCCTCCCCTTCCTCCTCCTGCTCTTCTCCTCCTCCTCCTCCTCTTCCTCCTTCTCCTCCAGCTCCTCCTTCTCCTCCCCTTTCCCTCGACCATTTTCCCTTCCCTCCTCCATTTTCCTCCTTGTCCTCCTTTTTCCCCCCTTTTCTTCCTCGTCCTCCTCCTCTTCCGTGTCCTCCTTCTCTTCATCTTCCCTCCTCTTTTTCCTCCCCTCCCCGTTCCTCCCCCTCCTCCTCGTTTTTTTCCTTCTCCTCTTCATCCTCTTCCTTCTTCCTCCCTCCGTCCTCTTTCCTCCTGGGTCCGCCCATTCCTTCTTCTCCTCCTCCTCCCCCTCATCTTCCTCTTCCGCTTTCCCCTCCTCCTCCTCCTCACCCCCCCCACACTTGCTCGAACGGGGGCCTTCCTGCCTCTCCTTATCCCTGTTTGCTGCTTCAGTTTGCAGCTTGGCCGGCCTCCGCGCCCGTTTTTAATTGTGCTTCGCATGCCGCTGTACATCTAGTATCAGAAAGATCCAGCGGTTTCATGTATTTGCATCGCATCCAACTCCGCTGCCGCGATTGTTTCTCTTTCTCGCTTCGTTTCGACAGCGCGCGTTCCTCTTCGCCGCCGCTGCCCGTCCTGCCGCTCTACGTCCAGCGGCTCATCCCGATGAACATTCGCTTTTGTGCAGCTCTTCCCGTTCACGTTCGGGGCAGCCGCCCCTCCGTCGCTCAGGCCCGTGACCGGGAACGCGCGCAACCAACGCCTGTGCAAATGCGCCTGCGAGGCCTACAAGGGCGCGGGCCGCGCAGTGGAACTGCGCCGGCGCAGCTCGGACCCTATTCCGTTGATGCACCCGCCTGTGGGGATATGCCGCAAGTGTCGGACAGTTGTTCGATGCAACGTTCACGTCTACGATGCCGGTTAAGGGCCCCGAGCTTTCGGCGACTGCGTCACGAGAGCCCCGGGGGGAACGCGCAGAGAAGAGCGGGGAAACAGTGGGGGGCATGGCGACTGTGTCGCGAGTGCTCCAAGGGTCAGCGAAACGGATCTGGGAGAACCCGTTTTCGCTGTCTTGGAACATGACCTCTTTGCTCCTCCGCGCATTCCCTGCAGCTTGGCAGGAGTGGGTCCCGAGGGGCGCCCCTTGTATCCATTGCGCAGTTGGCGGGGCCCAGTGCAGTGGTAACGCGGCGCGCGAGGAACATGCCGCGGTTGTGTCACGGGATGTACCGAGTGCCAATTGGACCGCGCCCACGCGACTGAAGCATTCGCCCACTGCGCAGACGAGGAGGAAAAGGTCCGGAGCAAATCTCCGCGGCGGGTCCGAGGCCATGACCTAGAAGCGCCGTTGGTGGATCCCCGGCCCCGTGTGCCGTTTTGGCGCGTGGCCGCGTGGAGGGACCTGCGTTGTGGGTGGGGGGCCATCGGTTTTTGGCGCGATTGCACTTGCCAGCCGGCCTTTTTGCGCGGGCATAGACGGCGGCAGCGGCGACGCGCGTCGCTTCCGCACCTGGGGTCCCGAGCAGCAGGCTCGCGTGCCCTTCGGGTCACTGGCGAACTCAGCCCTCGATGAGGTTCGCTTCGCGGCCTGCGTCTCGTCGCGTTTCGCTGGTATTGCGCGCAAGTCTGCGGGCGAGTGGCCACCAGTTGCCCTGGCCCAGGGAGGTGTCATCAATGGCGCCCCAGCGCCGCCGATGACCTTCCCCGCAGACGGTCTTGCTGAGCGGCTGGGGCAAATGGGGCCATCATCTCGCGGCGCTGCTACGTAGCCTGCCCCGCGGGCGCAGCGCAGCTCGCGCATTGCGGGCCGCCTGCGACGTTTCGGGGGCGCGATCGAGGGGTCGCCGGGCAACCTCGCCTCGGCCGCCCAGTCTGTCCTGCGGCGCGCCTTCCTCGCGGGTGCGCCCGCGTGAGATTAGGCCAGGGTTGCCCGTGGCGCCTCGGGGGCCGCCTTGGGGGCGGCGCCGAGTCCATGTGCGCCAGCGGCCGCCGGCGACGCCGTCGCGGCGTCATCAGCGCATGGGGGCATTCCTAACAGCAGGTCTTGATCCAGGCACCGACGCTGACGTCGTCGGATTATTCGTCGGGGGCATTGCCGCAGACGATCCCGAGCTGCGCGACGTTCCCGTGGAACAACGCGGCGCGCGCCTCTTCCAGGCTTGCGGGCGCGCCGGAGCACGCTGGCGCCCTTTCAACAACAGCGCCGCGTCTGGGGGGTGATTTTATGGGTGCGCGGGGGCCGCGGCAAGGTCTACCGCGCTTCCCTGGCTGACCTGGCCGACGGCGACCTCGGTGGTGGGCTCCAGGGGGGGCAGAGGTATGGCGAGGAAGGGTTCCGGGGCTGGCGGCGCGGGTTCAGGCCGCCAAGGTAACCCCATGGGCCCTGGCGCGGTGTGGCTCGAGTGTTTCGTTAATCGTAAATGTGCCCAGGGCGTTGCTCAGTTGGCGCTTTGTCTTGGCGGTTTCAGGTCCCGGCGAGATAAAGTCAAACGCTGAGAGAAGGATTCATTTTCCACGTTCATAAGTTTGCTGGCCTCCAGGCCTGTTTCGGGTCGGCGTTGGGCCAGCGTTGGAGCGCGTTGTTCGTCTCTCTAGCTCCGAGCGGCGGTCGGCGGCAGGGGCGAGACAATCGGGGGCGAAGACAGC